GTGTGTGTGTGTGTGTGTGTGTGTGTGTGTGTGTGTTTCTGATTGAAGTGTTTTTATCTAGCCTTAGGGAAAGGTCCCGAGATGGTGCAAATGGCCAGTGCTTGCCTAGTAGTAACCAAAATGTTGGCAGTTTGAACCTGCCCGGTGGCGCTGTGTGGAAACAGGCCTGGTGATGTACTTCTATAAAGATTGCCGCCAATAAAATTCTATGAAGAAGCTCAACTTTGTTTCTTATGGGGTTTCCTAGGGTTGCATCAGCATGACCATGATGAGTTTCTTTCTTTCTATATGACTGGCACTTTTGGGGGGAGAAGGGGTACTTCCATGATTTTTATTTTATACAATTAAAAATATGACTCTGAAATCATACAATAGCATATAGCCAAGGGAGTCCTTGGCACAGAAAGGTTAATAACCCTGGCCAAATCGTTAGTTATTTTCCTTCACTTAAAGATACATGGTAAACTCCACAGCCAAGACACGAGGCTCTCCAGGCCCACTTGTCATCCTTTGCCCATTGCTCCAGGCACATAGCCTCAGAACTTCCGCCGCAGGTGTGGCCAGTCAGCAATATGGTGCTCAACGTTGCTCTCTGTATCCTATACGACTTCGCCCTTATAACTCCTTTCTTTCCCTCCTTTTTTCCCTTTCCTTTTCTTCTACTGGAATTATCTTCACAGAACAATTTTCTTCTTCTAGCACATTCTCGCTCATCCTTCAAAACTTCGTGGGGTTGTAGCATAGCCTCTGCGTTGTTATATATTTATGTCACTGCACTTACTGCATCACACTAAATTTATTGTTCAGTGTTTGTGCCCTCCCTTAAACTCTGTAGAGTCCTTGAGTGGTGTGCTTGGTTAATACAAGTGGCTACTAATAGAAACGTTGGGGATTTGAGTCTACCTAGAACCAACTCTGCAGAAATTCACTAGAGAAGCCAACCACGGAAACCTCCATGAAGCGTATGCAATGCGGGGTCACCATGAGTTGGCTGCGACTTGAAAGCAAATGATTTGGTTCCATTGTTTTGGTTGGGTTGGTCGTTTATTTCATGGTGGTTAACTCTACCCCTGGACAGGAGGTAATTTTCTTCATCACTCCATTGGGAGTACAGAGTAAACTCTGAGGGAATTAAACATTAAGAGAGGAGCTCGAGTCTTAACTCTTTTACGGTGTTGTCCCTAAACTCGTATTAAGTACCTTAGAGGCTACTGTCACTTGGAAGGAAAGAGGAACCACTGTAAAACTGGATCCCAGTCATTTTTCCTCTTTGGCTTTGTTTGCAGACGAGATCTTTCTGTTATTCTCTTCCACCTGTTAGCACATCTTTCTAAACTTCCACAAAAATCAGAACTTAAGAGTAGACCTTACTCTTCTTTAGAGCCAAAATTAAGTCTATTTCTGAAATAAATTCAGGTGGTTGATATATCAGCTTTTCCCCCTCTTTTGAATTTGGAAGTAAAACATTTTCTTTTGAAAGCAGATTCATTAGGTCTCCCATAACATTTTGTAAAAACTAAAAGAACCTTTAGCCTAAGAGTTATCAAATGATAGGTTTACATAGAAATTCTGTGCTACTCATTCCAGGTAACTAAGAAACCACTGGGAAGATATGTGGCAATCTTGAGGCATTATCCAGAGATAACTATTCAATGCACTGCTTCCTTGCATACATCAAGCTTGCCAGGCTATTCGATCCATCTAAGAAAACATGTGACACAATCAGATCAATAAATCTAAACAGCAATTAAGGAGCATAAGATTCATACCAGCATTATGGGTAACACAAAATATGTCACAAAGAAGCAATACAAAGATAAAGTATTACCAATCTCAAAGCTTCCATTAATAAATCCAACTAGAGATGTTGGAATGTTGAATTGTCTCTCTATTTGCGTGAGCATGGAATTCATATAAGATCCAGACAGAGTCTTGGATACATATGCGCATGTTATTGCCAACAGAAACATCTAGGAAGGAAAGAATTTTAAAAAATATATGAGAAGTTTATTGTAAATTATTTGTTGTTTGACGACAACTAACCATCTTCTATCACAAGACTGATTGTTTCAACCTAAGTAATATTTGAACATTCAGTAACTTTCAATGTGGTCTGTTCTTTTTGGGTCTGTTCTCTCTTTGAAACTGAAAATGGAACCAATCAATAAGTAATATAAAATTATAGCAGTAGCATAATTTTATAGTCACATTATTGCATAGACATTATTTTACAGTCATACTGTACATATGCAGACAGACAGACAAATATTAATTCTAAACTATATAGCTAATGATTCAAATACATCTTCAGCACAAAAATATCTCTAGTACAAAAAGAATCCATAAAATCCAGGAAAAGGTTGTACTGGAAAGAGGCAGTATGCAGTAGCACTGTTTGGGCAGAAAGTTTATTTCCCTTCTCTTTTATTCGAGGTAATATATAAATGGGTACACTAGATTGCATCTTGCGGTAAATACATTTATTTTCAAAGTAAAATAGAACCGCTGCCATCACCAAGAGTAGCATAAATTTACTAAGAAATTTGTAAATATCTTCATAGGATTATTAAATCAGAAAGAAAAGGATTTGCCTGTTAAGAAATTATTTGAAAGGGTTTTTTGTTGTTGTTTATTAAACAATGTATCCTGGCTAATAGGCTACTTAGATTTATTGCTGCCGCCTATCAATACAATTATAAAAAACAGGTTTAGCTTGAATGGTGGTCTCCGGTGATATGCCATTTGGGCTTTTTTCTTTCGCCTTGCCTAGTAGTGTTTGATGACACTGCTTCCATACTGGAAGACTACTTGACCCATTTTCCAAGGAAGCACATTCAATTCTCTAAAATCCTTCCTCCTCCACTTGTAACACTCCAAACCTACTCTATGCGCCACGGTTGCCAGGAGTCCACAGGAGTGCGAATCTTGAAACAACCCTGCAATTTGTCTTTGACCTCAAGCATTCCATTCATGATTATTCTTAACTTACTTTGTGTTTTTCAGTCCCCGCCC